CTAGTTTTAGTTAGTTTATAATTTTGCTGTAACATATCTTATGTTTTCTCTTAATAAATGAAAGGCAAGATCGCCTAAGGAAAAAAAAAAATAATAATAGTGATTTATTATCTTTTAATAATATCAAAATAAGTAATAAAATAGAAAATAAAAATTAGAATAATATAGAAAATGAAGCAGTTACAAAAGAGGAAGAGAGAGTAGCTAATATTCATAAAAGAGAGTATCTAGTAGACTATCTTGTAAATATTTAAAACTTTAAAAATTTCTATTTGTTCTTTATATTATTTTAGCTAAATTTTTATAGTATAAGTATGCTAATAATTTATTGCTTCAATAATAGACATAGTTTGTTCTTTAACAAGAGTTTGAAATTCTTTAATAATATTTTCTTTTTTACTAATTTGCTTATTTTTTTGTTTTTTTGAAGTAGCCTATAATATAAAATATGATTTAATTAATATTTTAAATATTTACTGTAATTTGAATTACAAAAATAAATAAAATTACTTGCTTATTCTTATTTGGTTTCTCACTTTCTTGTACTTTATATTTAATACCTCAAATGAAATCACTTATAATAGATACTTCAATATTTGAATTAGCTTTTAAATATTCATCAATATTATAAAAAAATTCTTATTTATTTTATAAAGATTCTTCTCTAGTACATGCTATAGAATCTTTAATATAATAATACTTCTAGAAAAGAGTATCTCACTTTTGCTAAATCAATGCTTTAGAATATTCTTTTAAAACTGAACTAGTAACACTAGATAATTATATATTTAAAACAATTATATCTTAAATTTTTTCTTTTTCTCACAGATCTTTTGCTTTTTATAAAACTTGCTGATACTTTCTAATCTCCTGAATAAGTGCTCAAACTTCAGATAATGTCTATTGATTTGATAATTTATTAGTACTAATTAGTATATCAGAATTAGTATTAGTAAGAAGTATTGAGAATTACTATAGATAGCCTAAAAAAAAAATTAAATATTAAATACTAATATGTATTTAATATTAATATTAATATTCATAAAAACAAATTTTTTTTACTTCTTGTTGCTGTAAAACAACTTTTGCTAATGTTAATTAATTTTGTTACTGCTATAACAAAAAACTTAAATTGATAAAATTATTAAAAAAAGAAGCTAATACAACTGAAGTTAAAACTTTAACAGTTAGTTGAATAAACATTTTTTTATTAAATTTTTTGAGTGTTTTAAGTAGCATAGTGAAGATTACAAAAAATAAAAAAGTATACTCAAATATTTAATTCTATAAATATCATAATTGATTGTGATATTTGAGTATTATCACAATCATTTTTTAATTAATTGATTTAGATACTTGAGAACACTTTTAGTTAACATGTAAATTTATCTATTTGCATGATTTTCAAATAATTTCTTATTCAAATATAGAATTAATATAAAATATAATCTGCAAAACTTGATTAATATATATCATTTTGTGAACTATAATAAAAGTAATTAGTTATTAATTATAAAATACAAGTCACCTTCATTATAGCAAGAATGGTAAATGACTTGATATAATATTCAAATAACAAATGAATAGTCATTGGTCATTTCAAAACCCAAATGACTTAAGATCATTTAGCTGATAATCCAATGTCTTTTAGCTAATCAAAATTGATTATTAGACAAAAATAAAATAGACTAGATGCTAGAGAAAGAGACCAAATTGCCAATTTTTTCAAAATGAATTTTTTAAGCTTAACTAGTTTAAAATTAGCTCAGGAACATTTTTCACTTAAGAAAGAAATACTAGTGCATTAATAAAATTTTACAGAATAATCTTTTGAAATTTGTATTTTTCTATAAGTTAATATAGATTTTATAATATAAAAATCAATTTTTCGCAAAATTTATTTTTTGTCAATTTGGTCCCTTTCTCCAGCACCTAGCCCAAATATAATCGATAAATCTAACTGTATATAAAAGTCAAAATTTTACTATGTTAATCGATATTTATGGATATTTATGTCTTAAATAAACATATATGTATGCTGAAAATTTCATACGTACGTACGTATAATTTAAATTTTATTATTAAATCAAAAAAAAATTATAAACTATAAGTTATATGAAACTTTTAGCCTTTTATAAATAGTTACATTTCTTTTTATATAGCAGGATCATTTAAGTTATGCGAATAAAATGTTACTTTGTTTATATAAAATGACCCAATTACCATTATGATCCGTAATTTTTAAATGACTAAAAATGACCGATCATTTAAAGGTCATTTAAGATCATTTAAAAAGTCATCAAATGGCCAGTGAAGTGATCGTGCTGAGAAAAAAAAACTTCATTATTTCTATAGCTTATATCGAGAGAATACTATATAAACTTTATTATATCGAGCGAAAAGTTCACTATATATATCGAGAGTTCACTATAACGAGAGTGACCTATAATATTATTTGAAGAAATCAATTTAAAATTTTATTATCATTAATTTATTAAGTAAAATAAACAGATTGCCCCATTATGAGTCATATAATTAATGTTTTTTTTAAATTAAAAAATTCTTTCGAATTAGTTTTTGTTTTTCTAAATCGAAACCAATTTCAATTAAATAATTTTGTATTGAGCCATATTTTTGTATAATATATGATAGCGTATTTCTCATTACCTAAAAAAAAAAATAAATAAACAATAAATAAACAGATAAATAATAATTATGACATTAACTTTATACAACCTTTAAAATTCAAAAAAACATTGACTTACATCAGGATGTACAATGGCAAATTCTTCTGTTAATCCTATTTTTTTTAAATCATCGACTATTGATGAATATATACTGGCTAAACCCTTTTGAGAGGATGCATAATCTTGAGCGATAGTTTCAACATCAACACCACAAATGGAAAGAACTAAGGCTATTTTTTTAAATAATAATAATAAATAAATAAAATAAAATAAAATAAAATAAAATAAAATAAAATAAAATAAAATAAAATAAAATAAATCAAAATTTGAATAGTAATAGATAAAAGCAAAATTACCAACTATCAAACCAGTACGATCTTTTCCATGTTGACAATGAATCAAAATTGGTAAATTTGCTTCATCTGTCATAATTTCAAGAACCTAAATATTTTTACGAATTTGAATTGAATTTAAATTGAATATATATATATATAAATATATATATATTGTATATCCAATTTAACAATATTTATAATTTAATTTACAAACAACTTACATTACAAATGTGTTCATTAGAAAAATCCAACAAATCCGCATACATTCCAGTTAATCCTTTTGAAGCAATAAGTTGAGACATTACTTCTGCAGCTTTAAATTTTCGGAAAGTTAAAAGGTATCCAAATAATTTTCTGAAATTAAAACCATATTAAACATAAAAATTACTAAGGCAAAAAAAAGAAAAATTAAATAAAACCTACAATCTAGAAAAAAAAGGAATGGAGGAAATATATTTCTTGCGAAACTTTCTTCCTACTAAACTAATTAAAACGATCTTTCTACTATTGGGATTTACGTGATGCTAAAATTAAAATTATTATTATTTACAATAAGGTTTGGTCGACCGATTAAACGTTCCGTCCAAATTACTTGCTTAAAAAACTTTTATTGTACCTTGAAAGGGTATTCAACATGCGTAAAATTCGTCGTTAACTTTGATTTTTTACAAGAATCATATTTTCTAAAATTTAATGAAAAAAATTATATGTTATTTTAACTAAAAAGTTTTTTTTCTTTACAAACAAAATTAAAAAATAAGAACCTAGATCGCAAGTCAACAATTGTATGAATATCAAATTTAAGCAGTTGTTCAATGTCTTCTTTAGTTGCATTATCTAATAAAATTAATAATAAATTCAAAAAAATGGAATAATTTCCAATAATACAGAATTACTATGTTAAAATAAGAAATTAATACCTGGCTCTCCGCTACGAAATAACAAACCTTTCTTTATTGGCCTTTAAACAAAAACAAATATCAGATATATGAAATATAAATAAAGAATATAATATGATACATCACATTTACCTGATTTTATTTTGATTAATGGTGTCAACAGATTCGCCAACATCACGAAAATTCAAAATTGATTGCATAATTTTTTATTATCGTTATACGTATAAATATTATTAGAATATGCTTATTAAAATTTATTTAGGTCAATGTTATTTTGTAAATAGGACAATCTTTAATAATTAAAAAATGTGAATAAAAATGAATGTAATAATTAATTCGCTTTATAGCAAGCAATCTAATAGTTGTTTGTTAATATTTTCTTACTATATAACAGTCAACCCTCTCTATAACGAACTACCGATTTTTATAGTAAAAATTTTTCAAAAATAATTTACTATGTTTTATATACCAAACTTATAATAAATTTGAGAAAAAAAAGTTCGTTATATGGTGTATTCGTTATATCCAGAATTGACTGTATATAGTTTTTATCATAATAAAATTTTAAAAGTGAGCCTGCAACCAGACTTTTTATAATTTAAGGATCTTTACTAACAAATAACCCTTCCGGACTAGGATGAGCAATTATTATTATATATAATACTTATAGTACATCTATTTTTATAACGTTGTAAGACTGCTGCATTAGTAAGTAATAAGCAATAATTATCGTTTTGGATCATCGTTATAGTGAAATTTTAACTATTTTAATATAAAAAATTTAAAGTGTATTTTCTTGGCTTTTATTTAGAGTTAGGTTAGAATTTAAGGTCAAAATTAATTAGAAAAGAATATAAATAGATTTTTGATAGGATTTATATTTTCAAAAAAAAAAAAAAAATTAGACCATACCAAAATTCAATTTCATCATAATCAATGACAAATAATATGTAAGAACTGAAAAATACATATTAGTGGGTTTCAAAGTTAACGAAATCCAAAAATAAATGGGAGCTTAAATAATCAAATTTATGATTAAATGGGATTGTCTGAAGACTCTCATCTCATAAAATAAATTTTAAATTTAGGCCATACAAAATTAATTTTTTGTTTCTTATAATTTTATCCGACTGGACTTTTAACATTTTACGTATGAAAAACAAAAAATTAATTTTGTATGACCTTATCTTGCATATAATGGGAGTACGTATATAGCGCATTTTAAAATTATATAGGATTTTTTTTTTACTACGTTAACCTATAAATCGGAAAAATAAATTCTGAACCCCCCTAATAGTCATTATGTGTGGTTTAAAATGCATTCTTTTTAAAGATATTCGTTATCCGTGGCCGGATCGGACTCTTTGAATTAGGGATGTTAATC